AGGTCCATTTACTCCAAACAAGTGAGTCAGTCATCACGACTGGATATTGTTTTATTGAATAATCCTATTTAGTTCAGTGTTAAAAGTGTCAAAATGTGTAATATGTGTTGTTATGGACGGATGTTAACTTTATAAGCTAAGAGGTACAGACGTTTCAGGAATTTGCGTCACACACACACATTTAACAATAAATATACAAACTGAACTAAAATAAGTGTAGCCAACCCATAAAATTTATCGTGTTTGGCCTCATCATTCCTGGCCTGGCCACATAAGAAAAACAGAAAATAGAATATCATTAGACATAAGACATTTTATTTTGTCTTTGTTTGTTTGTTTTTACATACATATTACATATTTGCAAAAAATAACATTAAGAAGGCAAAATATACTGTACAGTTTAAAAAATGTAAATTACATTACTCTTTATGCTGTGAGTGCAATAAGTCATAGATTGTCCTCACCAAAATGTTTCATGTTTGTCTTTATCCTTATTTATCAATCACAATAAAAGTGCAGTTTCCTCTTTTTTCATACATTCTTTTACATGTGCTTAATATATTCACATCAGCATCGCAGTACATCTCCATGCTATACAACATTTACATGTTAGGGAAGAGAGAGTTGAATAAAATTATGCGACAAAGTTTCCTGGCTGGGCTTGAATCAGGCACACTGTGGTCACATGGCAAACCTCCCCAACCACTGGGCTACCAGGACACATTAGGTGGGCGCTGCTCGTAGTGTTTTCTTTGTTACAGTCACTCAGTAGCTTGTATTTGATGAGCCTTGCCTGGTGTCTCGGAGCTTAGAGCCCCCAAATAACAGACCTCCCCTCCAGTGATGGTGCATAGATGTCCCGTCGACATAGAGGGCAGGTGCCAAACTGCTGGCAGACCTTGGGGGCGCAGCGGTCACACAAACACCTGTGGCCACAGGGTAGAGTGATTCTGGCCTCTTTTGCCATGCACACCACACAGGACATTGCCCTGCTTTCACCTGTGAACAAAACAGAGGAATCACAATTACAAAGACTGACATAAGAGATAGGCAAATGTGTGCCATATTTTGAATCAACGCAAACAGCTGATTTCACTGATTCAATCAGTTAAGGGTCAAAAATCAGTATTTGGTTGGAAGGACTCTTTCTTACCTGCTGGGACTTCCATGTCAAGACAGGAGATGCATTCTCGCTGTTTCCATGGAGGTTCGACACAGCAGGAGTCATCCTGCTGGGAATGTCAACATCCGTGAGGTGGGGCGTTCAGGTGCAGGACAGGACCTTCTGGTGCGAAACAGCTCCCTTTTCTCTGAGCCTGCAGCAGAGTGTAGATACATATTTTTACAATAGTCATTCACACAATTACTTGGCATGGTCAACAAATAAATAAGAACAAGAAAACGGGCCGTGCAGCCCAAACACATCGTTATCTAACAGTAAACTTACCCAGAAGGAAAATGGAGCACGTCTGTCCGTAGATGTCTATCATGGCCCACAGCGGCTTGCTCAGATCCACTCCTGTCAGTAGTTTGTGCTGCCTGATGTTGTTGCTAGTAATGTATAAGGAGCCTCCATTGGAAACCCAGAACTCAAGCTCTGAACCTGCTTGGCAGTAGGATTCATGCACGGGAGCAGCCCAGTGCCCGGAGATGTCAGTGAGGTTGGGGATGGCCATGTCGGGCAGAGGCTGAGATCTGGCTGAAGGTGGCACGTTGGTGAAGCCCACACGCAGAGCTCCTTGGCAGTTCATCAAATCCTTCTCCACCCTCAGAAGAATCCTCTCCTGGACCTCCACTGGGCGGCTAATGAACACCAGGCCGTTCCTGAATGTCTTCCCCGTCCTCTCTGCGAGTCGACACCCCTGGCTCAGGCGCACATTGTCTCCCACAGCCTGAGAGTGGAAGGTCAGAGGACCGAGGCAGGACAGGCCACACCGGAGTGACCTCTCTGACCCAACAACTGCAAAGGAAACAAAACAATCTTTTTAAAAAATTGTTACATACAAGTCATGTTTGCACAAAGTGATTTCTTTGCGCATGTGTCACAGACAACCACAACAACAAAAAGCTGGTAAGTTTTGCTTTCACTATCTGAATACAGTGTAGTAAACAACACATTGTACTGTACTCATTTTAGACTAAAAGCAGTGAATGTGCTCGTAGTACAATATTTTTTCTCCTTAATGTTTACTGCTATAAATGAATATTGTTTGTGTCATAGGTAACTAATTCTACTAAGCTTAAGCTGTTAGGAATAAGTGACATATTTGATAAAACACATAATAAAGAGAAATTTCTTAACATCATCTAATCTAATAACTTGTTATTCTACAGCGATAAAGTTGATAATGATGGAGCTATAAACCGCAGTTAAAATAAATAAAAAAGTAATAATGAAACTAGCAGACACTCGTTCTTTCTATAACTGATAACAAAAGACCTGGGCATGAACAACTCACTTTAGTTTTGTATCTCACCAATCAGATTCTTAAGAATAATGACCACATTCTTAAAGGAAAGAATAGTTTCTTTCAGTAGCTCTTGCAAAAAGAAATTAACTTGAATGTTTTCTTGATGTACATGTGCATTAAAAAACAAACTATAAGAGCTTTTTCATACCAAAGTACAAATTTATGCCATTAAGATTTGTGTTACTAAAATGTAGAATTCTAAATGAATTATTATTTATTTATTTTCAGTATTAGTATTAAGTTTAGTAATAACAACAAAAGTGATAATTCATATATATTTTGACATCCTAAATTGAACTTAACAAATTGTAGTTAACAGAGGACTTTACAGATATTTTAAGCAGTGCTGTAAATTGCAGATCAAGCGGAGATCTTGTAAGATCCACAAATAATAAGAGGCTGTTTTCATGCAACCTATTGCAGGCCCTGCTGTCAGCATCATAAACAGCAGAATAAAACATGTCTTGATCCTTTAGGTCATATTATGACTACATGCCTAATGATTATTCTTTAATATAAACGGATGCCAGTTAATATTTGCGTCAATAAAGATGTAAATAGGAGATAAAATTGTAAACGAGTAATAATGAAACTAGCAGACACGTGCTTGACTTTGAGCAACAGGTGAAGGTTTACCATTCATGCAAAGATGACTGATTAAAGTAAACACTGTATTTAATCAATGCATTTGTTAATTTGATAAAGAATGTATTAAATGTTAACTTATGTATCATGCAGGTGTGACTCACATGTGTAGTAACTTTTTTTTACATGTGAAGCCCTTTCCTCATCAGTCGTAAGCTTAACGTTTCCAGTAAAACGGCTAGTTTCTAGTTATCTCTCATCTCCTGCATATGTGCCATGTTCTCAATCAATGCAAACAGCTGATTTCACTGATTCAATCAGTTAAGGGTCAAAATCAGTATTTGGTTGGAAGGACTCTTTCTTACCTGCTGGGACTTCCATGTCAAGACAGGAGATGCATTGCTCGCTGTCTCCGTGGAGGTTCGACACAGCAGGAGTCATCCTGCTGGGATTGTCAACATCCAGTGAGGTGGGGCGTTCAGGTGCAGGACAGGACCTTCTGGTGTGAAACAGCTCCCTTTTCTCTGAGCCTGCAGCAGAGTGTAGATACATCTTTTTACAATAGTCATTCACACAATTACTTGGCATGGTCAACAAATAAATAAGAACAAGAAAACGGGCCGTGCAGCCCAAACACATGTTATCTAACAGTAAACTTACCCAGAAGGAAAATGGAGCACGTCTGTCCGTAGATGTCTATCATGGCCCACAGCGGCTTGCTCAGATCCACTCCTGTCAGTAGTTTGTGCTGCCTGATGTTGTTGCTAGTAATGTATAAGGAGCCTCCATTGGAAACCCAGAACTCCAGCACTGAACCTGCTTGGCAGTAGGATTCATGCACGGGAGCAGCCCAGTGCCCGAGATGTCAGTGAGGTTGGGGATGGCCATGTCGGGCAGAGGCTGAGATCTGGCTGAAGGTGGCACGTTGGTGAAGCCCACACGCAGAGCTCCTTGGCAGTTCATCAAATCCTTCTCCACCCTTAGACGAATCCTCTCCTGGACCTTCACTGGGCGGCTAATGAACACCAGGCCGTTCCTGAACGTCTTCCCCGTCCTCTCTGCGAGTCGACACCCCTGGCTCAGGCGCACATTGTCTCCCACAGCCTGAGAGTGGAAGGTCAGAGGACCGAGGCAGGACAGGCCACACCGGAGTGACCTCTCTGACCCAACAACTGCAAAGGAAACAAAACAATCTTTTTAAAAAATCTTTACATGCAAGTCATGTTTGCACAAAGTGATTTCTTTGCGCATGTGTCACAGACAACCACAACAACAAAAGCTGGTAAGTTTTGCTTTCACTATCTGAATACAGTGTAGTAAACAACACATTGTACTGTACTCATTTTAGACTAAAAGCAGTGAATGTGCTCGTAGTACAATATTTTTTCTCCTTAATGTTTACTGCTATAAATGAATATTGTTTGTGTCATAGGTAACTAATTCTACTAAGCTTAAGCTGTTAGGAATAAGTGACATATTTGATAAAACACATAATAAAGAGAAATTTCTTAACATCATCTAATCTAATAACTTGTTATTCTACAGCGATAAAGTTGATAATGATGGAGCTATAAACCGCAGTTAAAATAAATAAAAAGTAATAATGAAACTAGCAGACACTCGTTCTTTCTATAACTGATAACAAAAGACCTGGGCATGAACAACTCACTTTAGTTTTGTATCTCACCAATCAGATTCTTAAGAATAATGACCACATTCTTAAAGGAAAGAATAGTTTCTTTCAGTAGCTCTTGCAAAAAGAAATTAACTTTGAATGTTTTCTTGATGTACATGTGCATTAAAAAACAAACTATAAGAGCTTTTTCATACCAAAGTACAAATTTATGCCATTAAGATTTGTGTTACTAAAATGTAGAATTCTAAATGAATTATTATTTATTTATTTTCAGTATTAGTATTAAGTTTAGTAATAACAACAAAAGTGATAATTCATATATTTTGATATCCTAAATTGAACTTAACAAATTGTAGTTAACAGAGGACTTTACAGAATTTAAGCAGTGCTGTAAATTGCAGATCAAGCGGAGATCTTGTAAGATCCACAAATAATAAGAGGCTGTTTTCATGCAACCTATTGCAGGCCTTGCTGTCAGCATCATAAACAGCAGAATAAAACATGTCTTGATCCTTTAGGTCATATTATGACTACATGCCTAATGATTATTCTTTAATATAAACGGATGCCAGTTAATCATTTGCGTCAATAAAGATGTAAATAGGAGATAAAATTGTAAACGAGTAATAATGAAACTAGCAGACACGTGCTTGACTTTGAGCAACAGGTGAAGGTTTACCATTCATGCAAAGATGACTGATTAAAGTAAACACTGTATTTAATCAATGCATTTGTTAATTTGATAAAGAATGTATTAAATGTTAACTTATGTATCATGCAGGTGTGACTCACATGTGTAGTAACTTTTTTTTACATGTGAAGCCCTTTCCTCATCAGTCGTAAGCTTAACGTTTCCAGTAAAACGGCTAGTTTCTAGTTATCTCTCATCTCCTGCATATGTGCCATGTTCTCAATCAATGCAAACAGCTGATTTCACTGATTCAATCAGTTAAGGGTCAAAAATCAGTATTTGGTTGGAAGGACTCTTTCTTACCTGCTGGGACTTCCATGTCAAGACAGGAGATGCATTGCTCGCTGTCTCCGTGGAGGTTCGACACAGCAGGAGTCATCCTGCTGGGAATGTCAACATCCAGTGAGGTGGGGCGTTCAGGTGCAGGACAGGACCTTCTGGTGCGAAACAGCTCCCTTTTCTCTGAGCCTGCAGCAGAGTGTAGATACATCTTTTTACAATAGTCATTCACACAATTACTTGGCATGGTCAACAAATAAATAAGAACAAGAAAACGGGCCGTGCAGCCCAAACACATCGTTATCTAACAGTAAACTTACCCAGAAGGAAAATGGAGCACGTCTGTCCGTAGATGTCTATCATGGCCCACAGCGGCTTGCTCAGATCCACTCCTGTCAGTAGTTTGTGCTGCCTGATGTTGTTGCTAGTAATGTATAAGGAGCCTCCATTGGAAACCCAGAACTCAAGCTCTGAACCTGCTTGGCAGTAGGATTCATGCACGGGAGCAGCCCAGTGCCCGGAGATGTCAGTGAGGTTGGGGATGGCCATGTCGGGCAGAGGCTGAGATCTGGCTGAAGGTGGCACGTTGGTGAAGCCCACACGCAGAGCTCCTTGGCAGTTCATCAAATCCTTCTCCACCCTCAGAAGAATCCTCTCCTGGACCTTCACTGGGCGGCTAATGAACACCAGGCCGTTCCTGAACGTCTTCCCCGTCCTCTCTGCGAGTCGACACCCCTGGCTCAGGCGCACATTGTCTCCCACAGCCTGAGAGTGGAAGGTCAGAGGACCGAGGCAGGACAGGCCACACCGGAGTGACCTCTCTGACCCAACAACTGCAAAGGAAACAAAACAATCTTTTTAAAAAATCTTTACATGCAAGTCATGTTTGCACAAAGTGATTTCTTTGCGCATGTGTCACAGACAACCACAACAACAAAAAGCTGGTAGTTTTGCTTTCACTATCTGAATACAGTGTAGTAAACAACACATTGTACTGTAGTCATTTTAGACTAAAAGCAGTGAATGTGCTCGTAGTACAATATTTTTTCTCCTTAATGTTTACTGCTATAAATGAAGATTGTTTGTGTCATAGGTAACTAATTCTACTAAGCTTAAGCTGTTAGGAATAAGTGACATATTTGATAAAACACATAATAAAGAGAAATTTCTTAACATCATCTAATCTAATAACTTGTTATTCTACAGCGATAAAGTTGATAATGATGGAGCTATAAACCGCAGTTAAAATAAATAAAAAAGTAATAATGAAACTAGCAGACACTCGTTCTTTCTATAACTGATAACAAAAGACCTGGGCATGAACAACTCACTTTAGTTTTGTATCTCACCAATCAGATTCTTAAGAATAATGACCACATTCTTAAAGGAAAGAATAGTTTCTTTCAGTAGCTCTTGCAAAAAGAAATTAACTTAAAATGTTTTCTTGATGTACATGTGCATTAAAAAACGATCTATAAGAGCTTTTTCATACCAAAGTACAAATTTATGCCATTAAGATTTGTGTTACTAAAATGTAGAATTCTAAATGAATTATTATTTATTTATTTTCAGTTTTAGCATTTAGTTTAGTAAAAACATCAAAATAGATACTTTATTTTGGCAACCTAAATGTAACTTGACAAACAAGGGGGATCCAGTAAGATCCACAAATGATAAGAGGCTGTTTTCACACAACCTATCGCGGGCCTTGCTGTCAGTATCATACAGCAGAAAAAGACATATCATCATCCTCGAGGTCGCGTTATGATCACATTCCCAGTGTTGTCAGTTAATCATTTGTTTCAGTAAAGTTGCAGAAAGCAAATAAAAAAAAGTAAACAAGCAAGACGCTTGTGCTTTCACTTTGTGGGAACAGGTGCGGGTGTGCAATTCATGCAAAAATGGATGATTAAAGTGAAAACTGTATAATAAAAAAAAACAATTTGCAGTAAATGATAACTTATTTATCCTGTGACTCACACATAGCAACATCTTAATTTGCATGTGAAGCCCTTTACTCATCAATAACAAGCTGAACGTTTCCAGTAAAACATATAGTTTCTAGTTATCTCTCATCTCCTTTATTTCACAGTTTACGGCACAGGTCATAAATCCTATATTCCTCCTATTTCTTTTGATCAGTTTTACAGCAGTTATAACTAAACAATTTTTTTATATACCAAAGTAATATACCTTTGCCATTAGGATTTGTTAGTAAAATGTAAAACTGTAAATGAATTACTATTATTTTTTAGTAACTTATTTTCAGTAGCAGTATTTTGTTTAGTAACATCAACACTGATACTTTATATATAATTTCGCAACCTAAATGTAACTTGACAAAATGTGATTATAGAAGACCTTACTGACAGTTAAAGCAGTTTAGTAAATTGCATATCACGTTGACTGAAGACCAAGATTAAATATCTCACCAGAGTTCTCCTTGTCACTCTCCTTCTCCATCTTGAAGAGGCAGATTGTTCTTGTCTTCTTGTCTTGAGAGATGATGTGGTCAAGTCTGTGTCTTGGTTTAATGAGCAGGCTTTAAAACATGGTGCACGTGGTGTCAAAACAGACACATCCCAGCATCACAAGGAAAAGGAATGGGGAGGGACTGAGGGAGGAGCCAAACCTTGGAAATTTACCTGATGAGGGAGGGCACGGTGCCAACAGTAGTTTTGTTTTTAGCGCAACTCACGTTTATCTTAAATGGTCTCTGTTTTAATCAGTGACTTTTACAGCAGCAATGTGAATACCCGGATGTGAGGTCCTGAATTGTATGGAATTAGCTCCCATATAGAATAGTATCACTTTCATTATTAGTCATGGTCTTGATTGTGTTTTATGCTGAAAGACAAAGGTCATGCAAACAAACATTTATGTACATTTCTTTTACATAAGTGAAGAAACAGTAGCCTACTTTAACTTACCATTAACATCCGTAAATGATGAGATGCTGTTAAAATACGTCAAATATTGCAGGGCCTTGTAATCAGTATCATTAACGGCTGACAAACCCCCTCTCACACTCAGATGAGGTAGAAAGATATGTATATACTGACATTTTATCGGACCCACAGTACAATAATCTCTTTTAGGAAAGGCAATGCAATCTGGCCTCATTTTAGAGAAATGTTCAAAAAGCCACCTGACTCAACACATCGTGGAAAATACCCAAAACACAAAAGTATTGGCTATCACCGCTACCCGGACTTACTCTGTGATTTAAAGAAACCCTAAACATGCGTATGTGATGAGATCATGCAAAGATTCATTCTTAAAAATTTCCTCACTTGCTGCTGCCTATTCTCTCACCAGTGTGTACAGAGCTTTGTCGCCCTCTACAGGACACATGCTCATATTTCAATAGTCCTCATTGGTTTGCATTCCTAATCATGTGACAGGAATGGGCCATGAGAAATCCTAAATGACATCATCACTCTTGGAAAGTTTATAGCTTTTCTCCTACTATGACCATAAAATCACATGTCTTTTCCCCAGACGTCATGTCACAATAATTTACTCTGCAGGCCACACCTGAATTCTGAATTACGAGATGTAGGTATTTTAACTTGTATTACACCCTTATGTGAAGCATGTTTTTAGGGAAAAGTATATCCTGTAGACCAAGTGTTTGATTCTAGGCATTAGAATAATTTATTCTATGCAATCCTGTAGTTAAATACTGCAAAAATGCATTGATGTATCCACCCCAATTCAAAAAGCATAACAGTAAGTCACATAATATCAACATTTAGATGACTAAATTTGTTCATAGAGTCATAGAGCCAATGGCAAGGCATTAATGCAGTGTGTGAGACCCAGGCCAATCCCGGGCTGCATTCTAACGTGGCTTATCTTTTACCATGGTGCCACTCCAAATGGATTGTGCCTTCTGGCTGATCCTGAAAAAAACGTCCATTCCCAAAGATGCACTGTTCCAAAACCATCCTCTTGTCTTACTTTCACAGAGTTATTCTGCTGTGGACATTCATATGATAAGCAGTTTTACACTGCCTCTTAGTGGTCCTGAGAAGATCTCTGTGGAGTTGATATTTTACCATGAAGACAGACAGGTGTCGCCAGAATCACAAACATGCCACCATCCATCTAGCTGTAGAAATGCTTTCAAAGCACAAAACATTGACATTGATTGTGAGCTGGAGGGATTTCCAATGCCAGACAAGGGATGCACTCATTGCTGTTTCATAAAGGCTTCCTTAACTTGATTCAGGAACACAGTTCAAACTGTAATCATTTTGTCATACAGGCTATTCATGAACTATTAGGCCTACTGGGGTTTGGTCAATATTTATGCCACTGTTGGTGGGGACAAGAAAAACATCTCCCAGAGTTACATTTTAGAAACGAAGTTGCCAAGTGTCTGAAAAAGTTTGACAGGTGACCAAACCACTGTGAGGCATCTGAGGGGGAAGGACATACTCTTTCAAAACCTAAAAGCAAATTGGACTGGTAGTAAAGAACAAGAGTTATATTTAATTGTTTTGATCAAAATTGTTGCTAGGGATAATTCAGAAGTCCTGGATATTGGTAGGGAAATCTCTTGTAGCCGTACACCTTCTTTTATAGTTTATGGTCGAGACATGTCCATAATGTATGTAGGCTTGTTACATTATATTGTAAAATAAAAACTCAATTTGCAGCACAAAGGTTGGTTATATATGAAAAATAACAAGTGAGAACAGCAAACAGCTCTGTTTAATTCTGACCCGGCCTCTGTCATGCGGCTGCAGCACTTTCTCTTTCACTCCAACCGCTGCTGTGCTCATTTACAGGGGAGAAAGTAAGAGAGACCCACATCGGCCAAACCCAATTCTTGATATTATAATTGTGATGTGTAATTTAGATTTAATAGAACTGCTATTGCTAAATACATATTTTGTGTAGCCATGTTCTTTTGGTAAATCATGTGAAATATCAGGCCTATAAAGGAAAAGAACAAGACAAATAGAGAAGGTACAACATACAGCAATTGGACCTCATAACCTCAACTTACCCTGTAAATAGGGCATGTCAGTGCTAGATATCTATCATGGCCCTCAGTGGGTGGCTGAGCTCAACCCCTGTTATTTGTTTGATCTGCTGTTGCTTGTGACTTAAAGCATTTGCTGCTGGAAAGACAGAGTCTGTGTTTGCCTTTGAGATTCTATTTCCGTCTTATAACTCTCTAAATCTGCCACACACACATTTAACAATAAATAAACAAATTGAACTAAGAAAATAGAATATCATTAGACATAAGACATTTTATTTTGTCTTTGTTTGTTTTTACATACATATAAATATTTTACATATTTACAAAAGATGCAAAAATATCATTTTCTGAGATAAAAAATAAATAAAAAAGTTTGATTTAAGATGTATAACATCAAGAAGGCAAAATATACTGTACAGTTGAAAAAAATGCAAATTACATTACTCTTTATGCTGTGAGTGCAATAAGTCATAGATTGTCCTCATCAAAATGTTTGATGTTTGGCAATCACAATAAAAGTGCATTTTACTCTTTGTTCACAAATCCTTTTACAGAGTTGAATAACAATTATGCGACAAAGTTTCCTGGCTGGGCTTGAATCAGGCACACTGTGGTCACATGGCAAACCTCCCCAACCACTGGGCTACCAGGACACATTAGGTGGGCGCTGCTCGTAGTGTTTTCTTTGTTACAGTCACTCAGTAGCTTGTATTTGATGAGCCTTGCCTGGTGTCTCGGAGCTTAGAGCCCCCAAATAACAGACCTCCCCTACAGTGATGGTGCATAGATGTCCCGTCGACATAGAGGGCAGGTGCCAAACTGCTGGCAGACCTTGGGGGCGCAGCGGTCACACAAACACCTGTGGCCACAGGGCAGAGTGATTCTGGCCTCTTTTGCCATGCACACCACACAGGACATTGCCCTGCTTTCACCTGTGAACAAAACAGAGGAATCACAATTACAAAGACTGACATAAGAGATAGGCAAATGTGTGCCATATTTTGAATCAACGCAAACAGCTGATTTCACTGATTCAATCAGTTAAGGGTCAAAAATCAGTATTTGGTTGGAAGGACTCTTTCTTACCTGCTGGGACTTCCATGTCAAGACAGGAGATGCATTGCTCGCTGTTTCCATGGAGGTTCGACACAGCAGGAGTCATCCTGCTGGGAATGTCAACATCCAGTGAGGTGGGGCGTTCAGGTGCAGGACAGGTCCTTCTGGTGCGAAACAGCTCCCTTTTCTCTGAGCCTGCAGCAGAGTGTAGATCATTAAATCACTTCATCTTTTTACAATAGTCATTCACACAATTACTTGGCATGGTCAACAAATAAATAAGAACAAGAAAACGGGCCGTGCAGCCCAAACACATCGTTATCTAACAGTAAACTTACCCAGAAGGAAAATGGAGCACGTCTGTCCGTAGATGTCTATCATGGCCCACAGCGGCTTGCTCAGATCCACTCCTGTCAGTAGTTTGTGCTGCCTGATGTTGTTGCTAGTAATGTATAAGGAGCCTCCATTGGAAACCCAGAACTCAAGCTCTGAACCTGCTTGGCAGTAGGATTCATGCACGGGAGCAGCCCAGTGCCCGGAGATGTCAGTGAGGTTGGGGATGGCCATGTCGGGCAGAGGCTGAGATCTGGCTGAAGGTGGCACGTTGGTGAAGCCCACACGCAGAGCTCCTTGGCAGTTCATCAAATCCTTCTCCACCCTCAGAAGAATCCTCTCCTGGACCTTCACTGGGCGGCTGCTGAACACCAGGCCGTTCCTGAACGTCTTCCCCGTCCTCTCTGCGAGTCGACACCCCTGGCTCAGGCGCACATTGTCTCCCACAGCCTGAGAGTGGAAGGTCAGAGGACCGAGGCAGGACAGGCCACACCGGAGTGACCTCTCTGACCCAACAACTGCAAAGGAAACAAAACAATCTTTTAAAAAAATTGTTACATACAAGTCATGTTTGCACAAAGTGATTTCTTTGCGCATGTGTCACAGACAACCACAACAACAAAAAGCTGGTTAGTTTTGCTTTCACTATCTGAATACAGTGTAGTAAACAACACATTGTACTGTACTCATTTTAGACTAAAAGCAGTGAATGTGCTCGTAGTACAATATTTTTTCTCCTTAATGTTTACTGCTATAAATGAAGATTGTTTGTGTCATAGGTAACTAATTCTACTAAGCTTAAGCTGTTAGGAATAAGTGACATATTTGATAAAACACATAATAAAGAGAAATTTCTTAACATCATCTAATCTAATAACTTGTTATTCTACAGCGATAAAGTTGATAATGATGGAGCTATAAACCGCAGTTAAAATAAATAAAAAAGTAATAATGAAACTAGCAGACACTCTTCTTTCTATAACTGATAACAAAAGACCTGGGCATGAACAACTCACTTTAGTTTTGTATCTCACCAATCAGATTCTTAAGAATAATGACCACATTCTTAAAGGAAAGAATAGTTTCTTTCAGTAGCTCTTGAAAAAGAAATTAACTTAGAATGTGTTCTTGATGTACATGTGCATTAAAAAGAAACTATAAGAGCTTTTTCATACCAAAGTAAATTTATGCCATTAAGATTTGTGTTACTAAAATGTAGAATTCTAAATGAATTATTATTTATTTATTTTCAGTATTAGTATTAAGTTTAGTAATAACAACAAAAGTGATAATTCATATATATTTTGACATCCTAAATTGAACTTAACAAATTGTAGTTAACAGAGGACTTTACAGATAATTTAAGCAGTGCTGTAAATTGCAGATCAAGCGGAGATCTTGTAAGATCCACAAATAATAAGAGGCTGTTTTCATGCAACCTATTGCAGGCCTTGCTGTCAGCATCATAAACAGCAGAATAAAACATGTCTTGATCCTTTAGGTCATATTATGACTACATGCCTAATGATTATTCTTTAATATAAACGGATGCCAGTTAATCATTTGCTTCAATAAAGTTGTAAATAGGAGATAAAATTGTAAACAAGTAATAAGGAAACTAGCAGACACGTGCTTGACTTTGAGCAACAGGTGAAGGTTTACCATTCATGCAAAGATGACTGATTAAAGTAAACACTGTATTTAATCAATGCATTTGTTAATTTGATAAAGAATGTATTAAATGTTAACTTAGTATCATGCAGGTGTGACTCACATGTGTAGTAACTTTTTTTACATGTGAAGCCCTTTCCTCATCAGTCATAAGCTTAACGTTTCCAGTAAAACGGCTAGTTTCTAGTTATCTCTCATCTCCTGCATATGTGCCATGTTCTCAATCAATGCAAACAGCTGATTTCACTGATTCAATCAGTTAAGGGTCAAAAATCAGTATTGGGTTGGAAGGACTCTTTCTTACCTGCTGGGACTTCCATGTCAAGACAGGAGATGCATTGCTCGCTGTCTCCGTGGAGGTTCGACACAACAGGAGTCATCCTGCTGGGATTGTCAACATCCAGTGAGGTGGGGCGTTCAGGTGCAGGACAGGACCTTCTGGTGCGAAACAGCTCCCTTTTCTCTGAGCCTGCAGCAGAGTGTAGATACATCTTTTTACAATAGTCATTCACACAATTACTTGGCATGGTCAACAAATAAATAAGAACAAGAAAACGGGCCGTGCAGCCCAAACACATCGTTATCTAACAGTAAACTTACCCAGAAGGAAAATGGAGCACGTCTGTCCGTAGATGTCTATCATGGCCCACAGCGGCTTGCTCAGATCCACTCCTGTCAGTAGTTTGTGCTGCCTGATGTTGTTGCTAGTAATATATAAGGAGCCTCCATTGGAAACCCAGAACTCAAGCTCTGAACCTGCTTGGCAGTAGGATTCATGCACGGGAGCAGCCCAGTGCCCGGAGATGTCAGTGAGGTTGGGGATGGCCATGTCGGGCAGAGGCTGAGATCTGGCTGAAGGTGGCACGTTGGTGAAGCCCACACGCAGAGCTCCTTGGCAGTTCATCAAATCCTTCTCCACCCTCAGACGAATCCTCTCCTGGACCTTCACTGGGCGGCTGCTGAACACCAGGCCGTTCCTGAACGTCTTCCCCGTCCTCTCTGCGAGTCGACACCCCTGGCTCAGGCGCACATTGTCTCCCACAGCCTGAGAGTAGAAGGTCAGAGGACCGAGGCAGGACAGGCCACACCGGAGTGACCTCTCTGACCCAACAACTGCAAAGGTACCAAAACAATCTTTTAAAAAAATCTTTACATGCAAGTCATGTTTGCACAAAGTGATTTCTTTGCGCATGTGTCACAGACAACCACAACAACAAAAAGCTGGTTAGTTTTGCTTTCACTATCTGAATACAGTGTAGTAAACAACACTCAAGGTCACATTGCTTTCTTGATATTACTTGATACCAGTTAATAATTTATTTTTCTATAGCAATAAAGTTGATTCTGATGGAGCTATAACAGAACATAAAATTGTAAACTAGCAGACATTTCTATAACTGATAATGAAACCCCTGGGCATGAACAACTCGCTTCTGTTATGGATCTCACTTATTAGATTTTCTAAGAATAATGATCCCAGCCTTAATGGACAGAATACTGGTTTTCAGTACCTCTTGAAAAAAATTTTTAACATAGAGATGTTTTCATGATGTACATGTGCATTAAAAAACGATCTATAAGAGCTTTTTTCATACCAAAGTATGAATTTATGCCATTAAGATTTGTGTTACTAAAATGTAAAATTGAAAATGAATTACTACTTATTTATTTTCAGTTTTAGCATTTAGTTTAGTAAAAACATCAAAATAGATACTTTATTTTGGCAACCTAAATGTAACTTGACAAACAA